AAAGAGCCTGATACAAACAAAGTGTTCTGCCCCACAAACACGGATGGATTGAAATCATCGCCCACACCATCAGTGCTTGCTGGTCAGTAACTCCACCCTCCCTCCTTTTGTGATGTTAGGCTCATTTACGCTTATTTTTTGGATACATGTCATACCTCACACAATGCTCTGTGTTTCACATCCTGTTGGAAAACACTATTTCTATAAGTACCATGTTACAAGCTTATCAGACAGTTACAAATTATGGACTGTGGGTAAGGCTTCGATGCAATGTTTTTATTGACTATATAGTGAAGTGTAGGTTACGAATTAGAGTATAGGCATTAGGAAGGGTATAGTGTAGGATATTTCTTTACCATAGTAGGCGGAAAAGTGGAGATGTATATTAGTTACAGATAAGGTAAGATAACGAGTGGTGAGATAATATTAACGGAAAGCAATATAGTGTACAGAAGAGTAAAAAGCTAATAAAGAATAGGCAAGAAGGAACTCACACTAAATTCGTATTGATGTCCTTTTGTCCTATCCTAACCATTTGTTTGGTGACCGGTTCTGTGGATGTACGACCACTGGCAGTAGTCAGTCGATTGTGCCTTTCTTCTGACGTTTTAGGGTATTTATAAGCGTCGTTTAGCGACCGAGTATTGATAGGTCCAGTGAGTTGCCTGTCTACTTCAATTGAAAAGAATTAGGGAGGGGAAAGTATCTAATACAACTACAAGGTAGGGAAATAAGGCGATTCAGTCTATATATGTAGGGAGCCTATGATGTCTGTGTAGGACGTGGATGTGTTCGTTTGCGCTAGATCTGTGCAGGTGAGGGGTTGATTAATGAGTCTTGTAAACGTATGTAATTTGTCTGCCATTCGTACTTCAAAAGGCAGACTGTTCCATATCAATGCGTACTTGATAAGGAAGAAGTTTTCACGTGTTTTTGATCTGTGTTTTTCAATTTTGACAGTGGATACTTTGTCTCGAAGGTCGTATCCATGTGAGTCTTGGTAGAGAGCTATATTACACGTGGAATAAGTAAGGTTTTTAAGGAGTTTGAAACAAAGAATTAAGTTAGACCTAAGCCTTCTTTTCCAGAGGGGTTCTAGTCCTAAGATATGGCATCTGGATTTGTAGTCAGTGAGTTGGTCATTCTTAAGTATTTTGCGAGTGAAGTCTCGCTGTATTCCTTCCACCTTAAGTATATCAGATAGGCGTAGGTTGGAAAATAAGAACGAGAAGTATTCGACGATGGGTCTTACGCAGGTTTTATACAGGATGATTTTAGTTTCGTTTTGAAAGAAATTACGAAAGATGAAGCCAAGCAATCTCCGCATTTGAGATGTGTTCTGAGAAGTTAAGACTGTCAGGGTAATGTACCCCAAGGTCAGTTACTGATGTCAGTCTGGGCAGTGGGTTTTCGTTAAGTGCTAGTTTTATTTTAGGTGACGTATTTCTAATACATAGCCAACCGCATTTCTCTGTGTTAAGCTCTAGCCCCCAGCTTTTGCACCAGTCGTCTACTTTGTTGAGTTCATGTTGGATCGTTTGCATAGTACTTCGTACATCACCAATGTCAGTTTTATAGATGACTTTTAAGTCATCAGCGTAAAGGTAGGTCTTACCTGTGGTAAAGCACTTGCATATATTTTTGATATAAATTATAAAGAGCAATGGGCCCAAGACACTACCCTGCACAACACCACTGGTTATTGGTCGAGGTGTAGATGTTGTAGAGTTAAGCTTGGTTATTTGGTATCTGTTTGTGAGGAAAGACTTAATCCATTGCAATAGGGGGTTTATAATTCCAACTGACTGGAGTCTGTTGATTAGAAGGTTATGGGGTACTTTGTCAAAGGCTTTCTTTATATCGAAATAAAGTATAATCACTAGCTTTGTCTGGTCACGTATGCGAGTAACCTCGTTAAAGAAGTCTATCAGACATGTACTACATGATCTTGTTCTAATGAAACCATGTTGTGATGGGTCTACTAGATCCTCCTTAAGTAGGTGATCTGATAGTTGACTTTATATCACTTTTTACATTATGCGCGAAATAACTGGAGTGATATTTATAGGCCTGTAGTTTCCGACCAGGTTTCTCGGTTCTGATTTGTGTTTGGGGAGAACATACGTTACCTTCCACGCTTCAGGATATGTATTCGCCTCTAAAGATAGTGTGTATATTTTGAGCAATAACGTATGTATATCCGGTCCTGACATTTTATAGAGAATTGATGGGATGTCATCGGCACCAGAGCTCGCATTCGGCTTAAGGGTTTTGATGGAGGTATGTATACTCCTAATGTCAAAGTTTATGGTGCTAATATAGCTTTTGCTTATGCATTTTATGTTAAAATCTGGGGCATTAGATGTATTCCCGTTTTGAGAAAACCATTCATTTAGCAGTTCGCATATGACGGTTTGGTCATAGTACGTCACGCCATCGTGCAGTAAAGAGTGAATGTTATGATCTTCGTTCTTTCTCATCCGTTTTGCAAGGAGCCGACATAAGTTTTGGACTTTAGATGCAGCTGTGAGCGCAGTACGTTCTTCTGTCTGTTTGTTTTTGTTGTGATGACTTTGGACTCCTTCAAGTACAGAGTATACCTGGTGCAGGGCACTAAAGTCTTTTGATGTAAAGTACGTCTTTCTTAGTTTTCGTAGCTTACACTTAGCCTTTTGGTTGATGTAGGGAGCAATTATTTTGAAAGCAATTTTAGAAGGGATGGTAGTGTCTAGTGCAGATTTGGTGGTAGTATTGAATATTTCCAGTGTTTCTAAAAGGTTATCACTTTTATCAGACCAAGCTTATCGGAAAATTTGTCTCCAATCCGGAAAGCTTATTCCGTTGTGCAGCTTCTCTTCGACAAGACAAAACTGAAGTTTCCCAACTGCTTGGTCCTTATGGCCCGACCAATAACGACGGTGATGCCGCTAACCTTTTGGCAGAACAATGCTCTCAGATATTCCGGCCGACCCACATCAACTATACTGATGAAAGCTTCACATGCACCTGTACAGGACTTTACGAAGTGTACGTGAGTGCTGATCTGGTGCTCCATAAACTGCAGCTCCTAAGAAAAGACACTTCTCCTGGTCCGGATATGGTTCATTCCGCTGTTTTGAGGGAAGCAGCCTCAATCCTGGCGACACCACTTAGCGTGATGTTTTCACACTCGCTAAGCAGAGGCAAACTACTGGAAATTTGGAAGCTGGCCCACATCACACCAATTTTCAAAGGAGGTCGATGCAGTGAACCCTCAAGCTACCGACCAGTGGCCCTTCTCTCCATACCTTCCAAAATTATAGAATCCCTAATATACGACGGTATACTAAAATACTTATCATCCTAAAAGTTCTTCTCACCCCAACAACACGGTTTCAGAAAAAGGTCATTCTTGTATGACCAACCTGCTGACTGTGGTGGATAGATGGACAACCATCCTTGATCGCAAGGGGAAGGTTGACGTCATCTACCTGGACTTCTCAAAAGCTTTTGATAGGGTCAACCATATATGTCTTATCAAGAAGCTTGGACGATTGGGTATAAAACCCCCTTTAATTGATTGTCTCTCTTCATATTTAGAAAACCGACACTTTAAGGTCAGGGTTAACTTCACTCTCTCTCAGGCTATGGAATGTCCTAATGGGGTCCCCCAGGGTTCAATACTATGACCTCTTCTCTTCTTGATGTACATTAACGATCTTCCTCAACATGTTTCATCTGACTTATTGCATTTTGCTGATGATGTGAAACTTTGGAGAGAGATACGCAATCACAATGATATACTAGTTCTTCAGGAGGATTTGACTCGACTTCAAAGTTGGGCAGACGACAACGGACTTACCTTCAACACTTCAAAGTGCAAAGTAGTCCATCTGAGACAAGTTGCAGACTATAGTTATAACTTAGGTAACTCACCTCTAGAAGTTTCCCAAGTTGAAAAAGATTTAGGAGTGTTGGTACCCTACGACCTGAAATCGTATGCGAACTGTGACAAAAACGCCTCTCAAGCAAACCTTGTACTGCTAACATTGAAGCGCATTTTTGGCCTGTTTGAAGGCAGAACCTTCCACATAATCTTTGATGATGCAACGGATATTCTAGTTTTACAACTAGGTACCAGTAGCACCTTCTATATTCGATTGTTACCAGTCAGATAGAAATCATAAGTCAGACGAGAATAGGCAGGAAAGATATATTTGATTCGTTACCAATATATCGAGGACCTTTTCTATGAGCTGGCTAATGAAACGTAGGAGCTGTGTCCCACCCCGTGTTGCAACGTGATCTGGTGCGGATGCATGACCGAAAGCCTTCAGCTAAACAAGTCCACTTAAACACGTGGTCAGCATCCAATGTCGAACACTTAATGAACTATTGATTTTGGGGAATTATTTACAGCTACATCTTCAACAGTTTTATTCGTCCCCATTTAGAGTACAGCAACACAGTATTTCCTCCCTCCCTCCAAAAGTATAAGGACACTCTGGAACGTATACAACGTCGAGCAACGAAATCAGTTCGGGGTCTCAAATTCAAACCTTACGAAGAGCGCCTCCAATCACTTAACCTTTACCCGTCAGAGTATAGGCGTCTTAGAAGTAACCTTCTTATGACTTACAGCATCTTTAACACTTCTGGTCATCCCCTTAAACATCTTCTTAAGCTTAGTAATAACACTAAGCTAAGAGGTAACACCCAGAAATTGGAGACCCTATATAGCAGAACGGACTGTAGACACAACTTCTACTCCTTAAGAGTTGTCAAGTGCTGGAATTCACTGCTGACTGAGCTAGTCCAAGCGACTTCCCAGGAGTCCTTTGAGAAGAAACTTGACTTATTCTTAAGGACTAAGGATAACATATTATTATGATTTGCCAAATTCTTTTTCCCCCTCTATTATTGTTAATATACCTAGGTTCTTCCCTGGAAATATTGGTGATCCACTGCTACTAGACACGGAAGCCCGTTAAGCGAAAGCTTCTTCTATTCCGTCCTAAACCATTTGAACCATTTAAAGTTGAGAGGCCTTTTTTTACTTTGCGGTACATAACACATGCGTTAAGGTATATCTAATTAGATATGGTCGTAAGATTGTCATGATTATGGTGGAAACATATTTAAATGCCATAAATTGACTAAGAACAATATATTGTTTATTTTGGTGCAGTGTTGTGAGTAGGTACTGCGACTAGTTGTGCTTGATATTCGATAATCCAATTTTGAGGAGAAACTAGAGCTTCAACAAGTCTGTTCCCTGGTCTGGACAAGTTTTTTAAATTCCCAAAATCCATTCCAGCGCATGTGTATTTCTTTGCAAAGAGCGTTCTGTACGAAACTATATATATATATATATATAGACAGTACGCTTATTGGCTCCATCTTTAGTCTCTTTCGACATGTGCTTGTGTTACTATTGTTTATCAAGGTGTGTTGTCTTGTTTCTTTGATACCAAGCTGTTAGGCTCTTAGTAGTAACTCAAATTTTCCGTGTTCGTTTTCTAAATTTGTGGTTGCCCTTTGAACTGGTTATTGCTTTGCTAATGAAACAATTTTTTTAGTTCTTAACACTGTTCCTTGGTTGAGATCAATTGATAGACGATAAGGATGGGCTACTTACTAAGTTAAAAATGTGTATGAGAAACTAGTTAGAACTTGAGATTAGGAATTAAAGTAAGGACCTTTTTTACTAACCGATAGCAGTTATAGTTGCAAGACGCTACTTGACTATTTGGATGAGTGAGTTTCGCTCCAAATCCTAGGCTTGCTATCTTTAGTTGCATTGTTTCGCCCATTAATCATAGTCTCGCCGAATTTTCTGCTTTGAAAGTGCACAGCGCGTTGCTTTAATGTGCATGTGTAGTCGAAGAAATGCCTAAAAACATATTAGAGCTTATACTTATCGGACCATACATGTGAGATATTTGTTAACGTTGGATATATATATATAATGCAGACTGCCTGGTAGGGGTCCGCACAACTATCGTAACCAATGGTTGGAGACTCTGGGTGATATGGCTCAGAATCGATCTCGATGGCGTAGGTGTATACACTCTTTGTCTTCCCTTTAAATTGTTTCATATCTTTCTTTCTTCCTACATTATATCCTTATATGCAATCTTTCATTCATATATTATCACCACTAAATTAACTATACGAATTCGATGTTCATCTTGTTGTGCTGATGAGGTATGGCAACTTAGACCGATGCATACATGTGCCTAGTCCTACGTTGTATCTGACTGATTGACTACGCTTGACTAAACTAGTGCATAAACATTGTTAAGAATATGCGTGTTATGGTGTACACCACCGTAACGCTTTCTCAAGAGCAAGTTAAGGGTCAATGTTTCGGATCTAAAACACCATACTAATTTGTTTACTCAGTAACCGTTTATGCTGTCTAGTCATTCTAACTTTCATATTGTGTTTTATCTCCTAAGATACCTAAAATTGAAAAACATCTATTGTGCCACCACACGGTGATTGTGATGTGGCATGTATGCAAAATTACTCGAAAAACATGCTCTTGGTGCAGACTATCTTAATTACTTGTTTAGCCTTAATTCAGTGTATAGTCAGGAGGTGATTGTATGTCTAAAAGATATTCTTCACTGTTATCTGAAATCCTGACATTAACCCAATGTAACCTTCTTACTTATTTACTAATAGTTAGCCCCACCTTTTTCTCGTCTGGTAAGTCACTCAGAGTTGTCAGCAGTTTACATTTACCATATTTCCTGCACTTCAGTTCTACGATTAGTTCATAGAATTGGTAGTCAGATAAAGTATACTTTAAACTTGCAAGGTTTACGTCCTCACAACTTCCTTATCGCAAAATCTACCAGTGTATTATTTACAATACTGGAATTCAGACTAAAAATAATGTGATCGGTTGACATATGATCGTATCAAATTATATTTTCGCCCTTCATACCAGTTGTTACTGTTAAATAGGTTTCAAGAAATGAGATTGATTATGAAGCCTCTTCAACTGATGTGATTTTTAAATTGAATACAAGGTTCATTTGAACTCATAGTGATAAGTACGTAATGTAGTTTATTCGGTAACGAAAATAAATTAAGTACATTTGTATAAGTGACCGTATTACTTGGTTATCTGTTAAGATATTCGGTCAGTAATACCAGTCTTAGTTTCTGTATGTCTCTGAAAAGATCTACATAATAAGACTTTCTTTTATTTTTATCCTACAGACCTCAATAATACTGTTCTCGTGTGAGCTCATTAAATTCTGAGCTATGACTTCGCTTTTGGTTACTACCACAAGTGAAAAACAGGTTGATGCCGCTATTGTTTGGGATCCTTTGGGGGGAAACCCAGTCGCTAGTTTGTCTGGTGATATGGCTTCAAAATCGTCTATCACCGGATACTTTGGAGGTGTAGCTTGTGCAGCTGCCAGAAAACCTATTATACAAACTTGGAATTTTAATAGTGCCGTAATCTATTCTTTTCTTGTTTAAATATATTTATTAGACCTCAGCGCACAAAAATATTTTGACGAAAGGATTAGTTAGTGCTTTTATTTTTACTCCCGATGGAAATTATATTATCAGTGCATTCGACAGGGAAATTTATGTGTACCAGGTAGGTTAACACATTAACCATAACTTTTGAAGACTGTGAGTGGATGCCTTGTGGGTGTTTTAGAAGGATCCCATTCTGCAAGAATATATGAAATGAAACTGTCCAAATGGAATTCAAACGGACCAGCATTTCTTGTTTCCACTGATATAGCCGGGTTTCTAGCTTGTTGGTCCTTGGGGAGTCTTATCAACGGAGTAAGCAAGATGAGTACACAGAGTGCTACTGAAGTTGAGCTTCATTCAAATGCCAATCTATCAAGAGCCAAACATCTTCCGCTCTGGTATGTTATTCAAGCAAGTACTAGTCATCCTGTGTGCGCAGTTATGGATGATATAGTCGTCGTGGGTGGATCACAAGGTCTTAAGGTAAGTTGGTACCTATCTCTTAATAACGAAGGAACTTATCCAACCAATGATGTGTTCCATTTGTCATCAGAAGTTTCATGTAGCTGTGCAGCGGAGGGAAGCAAACTGTTTTATTATTATCCTATGAATGCGAATGATGCGTTAGGCAAGCCACAGAAATACCAGTGTTTTCAACCAAGATATTGACATCCATTTATGGATGAAGTTATCGTTTACTTACATAATCATCAACATCAAAAGTATCACTTTGTTAGTAAGATCAGTTCGGTTGCGGACAATTTTTACTACTGCACTGTAATTAGGAGTCATTTTTCTTGTAAAGCGTAATACTAGCTCCTGATTTGTCTGCTAGTTTGGATGTCAATTACGACAGGCGTACGCAAAAATACTTGTTTAGGAGTTTAAGTTACTCCAAGGAAATCAACATTTCACTTACAAACATTCCTAGATTATGAAACCTCCGTTATTAACGAACAGAATTCAGAAACGTTTGCTTGTTTGAACCGTCCATTCAGCGTCATTTATTTGTTTTAAACACATAAACATTGGTACAACGGGGCACCAGAATATATATGCGCCTCACAATAAAAATGAGGCGATAAGATAGGAAAAAGGAAGTGAACATAATAAAAAGATGAAATGAATAGAAATCAGTGTATGGGAATAAAACAATGGGAGAAGCGGTATAGTTGGGAAAGTGAAACCAGATAGAATTCTTTCATTTAAAGAAATAACTCTCACTTTTATAAAGAAAGTTACAGCAAGATCGCGAATTGCTTTTATTCTGACCCATTTCTGATAAAGTCTGAAGCCACTGTCTTGGACTATCTCTAGGACCCCAACCAGGGAGTGGTGGAAGACTAAGAGATGCTAGTCATTTACAGCTTCCTTTCATACCATGACACCATGTCAGTACTGACCACCTCCGCCTTTCCAACCAGTCCTAGCGTCAGAAAATAGTACACCATGTGAAATATTCTGGGATGGCTTTTGTAAGACATGCTCAAGCCACCGAAGTTGGTGCCTCTAGGTGGTAATAGCAATTGAACTATCGTCACTGTGACCGAACATATGTTGCCAAACTTCCACATTACTAACATGGTATTGCTACTGGATGTTAACAATCTTCCAGAGACAACGATGACCAAGTGCGGGAGCGTTTAACATCGTCAGCTAGGAGAGGGTAGGTTTCACAGGCACATAGCGAAACTGCTCCTACTGACGCGTTGTAAATCTGACCTTTTACAGCCAGATTAACATCAGGAAGACGCCAAACATGACCACACATCATCACATGATTACATCACACAACTACCTAGATACAAGGACTTCTAACTGCTCACTACCAAGAGTGAGTGTAGGCACAGAGTTCTGTCAGTCTTGTTAAAGTACTTCACACTTGGAAGGTGCAAACCACATACCGTACCTACGGACACTGATTGACAACTGACTAAGTGTGAACTGGATAGCTTGGGTATCATTGCACAGTAAGGCAGTATCATCAGGATACGGAAGGTCGAAAAGCCTTTCTCCAGGCGAAAGATCTACACCACCATTGCCTAAATCTATCAGAGCCGTTTCCTGGACGTCATCGATGGCAAAGTCGAAGAGGAATGATGCGGTTTGGAAACCCTGCTGCTGCAAAGGAATACAAACTTTGTACAACTTTGTCAGATAAGAGCCTGCGTTTATCATCAAACTCATGGTTAACCGAAGTAGACTGATGTCCCTCAACAAGTAAGAGGCTTGTAAAAACCCACTACTTATAAGCAGGAAGTTTCGTGAAGCTTCAAGAGACTCGTCATTTCCATAGCGTCATGGAAACGAAGCCTGTACACATGTATACTTCTAGCCTTGAACCTATCCAGGTTTGATATTTAGTTGCAACAGAAGCTGCAACCAATTTGCTGACATCGATCCGTTTAGGGCGATGGATTTGTTGGCCACTGAAACCTTAGATAAGATTAGCTCAAACAAGGGCAAGACCAGAGCCCAAATAAGTAGTCGGAAAGGAGCGGCAGTGTTATACACAGTCAGTAGCTGATCATGATGTGATCAATCTGAGTCCATGTTTGAAATTCGGAGAGAAGGTGCCGGGTAGCACACCGGCAAAATTGCCGATAGTTATTGCCAGCCAGAAACAGGCTGTAGTGTGCGTAAGGTTGAAGTAGATAGTCACTGTTATCAAACCCGCGACCAACAAGTCTGCTTTTGGCCACCAGAACGACCATCTGTGCTTAAATGCCCAACCTGTGAATTATACAGTGGTTCTAAATTATATATATATATATATATATAAGCTCATATTCAAAGCCGTGTTTGCTTAATTAAAAGTCGTGTCACATACTTTTTATTATGAAGAGTTCAATCTCTGTAAATTGTTTCTAGATTACATCAAATAGAAGTAATAAGGGAACTGATAAGGGAACTGAGCTTTAAAAGTATCTGCATCTAAAATTATGACAACTCATTAAGTTGTCATTCTAATCCATTGCATATCTGCTTAGCATTTACTTTTTCGTAAACGATTGGGATAATTATTGGTCTTATTTCTTTTTACAGATATATGCTTTGTATGATGGTTGTGTTCTGGGATCATTACTCACAAACGTTTCTGGTGGGCTGTTAAGCCTTTGTCCTTCACCTGATAACAGTGGAAATCTATTTTGTGGTGGGAACGAAGGTTTACTATACACTGCTAATATACAATCCCAAACGGTAAGATAGGTAAATATCGATCCGTTGTCAGAAATAGTATTCCCTCACATAGTTTTATTTTTCAATATTTTTCGGGCTACTTGTGAGTAATGTAGATCGTTTTATTAAAATGTAGTAAGTAATTTAATAGGTATATGAAGTCTTCTTTATGGATTAAGCCATATTAATCTACTACATTGATGGGTAAAATTTTGTTCATGTGTATTAGATTATGTTACGTTATTCTCAAAGCATCAGTCCTACAATTCGATCTCTGCGTTTAGTTTATATATTTATCATTTTCCAGGTTTGCGATAATTATTGCTTCAGTTTGTCTTGGGATTTATTCTGATAACAGAAATACGATGATAATGATTTTTTCTTATGGATAACTTGCAATTTATGCAGATATGTGCAAGATAATTTTATTTCTCAGAAAATCCAACAAACGTTTCTCTACATTTTTTAGTTCTGGGCATCCAGGCATTGTACAAGTACATCCTGCTATGGATACCTAAGTATTCCTAACGTTACGTTTTTCTGTGGTCATTCATCCAACTAATGCAGTTTTGGCCTTTACTTTAAACTGTAGCTAGACTGTGTTTAGATTTTCTGGCCTATAACATCACTGATTGACACTTGGGTTTCTCAGTTACTAACGCTAGTACTACCTCGGGTTTCACATCTTTATTATATTCAGTGTAAGACTTATATGCATTTGTTTTCTTGATAGACTTTCGATCAGTAGTATTTAATCCTGATTTTCATTTCTAATGTTTCTTTTCTTATTAGGGTTGTTATTCTGCAGATAAGGAAATACATCGTTGTTTCTCTGACTCCAAGTAAGCATTTTTTCTACAATTAATATCGTTAATACCTTATGAAATCATCAAATGCAAAACTTTATATCATGTGATGTTTGTTTTGATCGCCTTTCTTTGTTATAATATGAATCATTAACCGGACTACGTGAACTTATAGTTATTGAGTCAAAAGTTTGAATTCAGTTTACCTAATTTTGTTTAGATAGGAAGTTAGTGAAGCACATCATTATACACCAAGTGTGGGTTGCGGCTTAGTACATAAGCATGTATGTAGTTTCCGAATTAAACGTTTACTTTCTGTTTCGTTTTCTGGTAATGCGATAATACTTTCTTTGTGTTCATGTCAATGTAAAACTGATATACATTTTGTAAAGTTGTGTGCTTGTACTCGTTGTTAGATGGGAAAAGGTGATTAACAGTGAGTTCATGAACTAAGTTCTGTGCAAATTCGTAGTGTTCAAAGGAGTTCGTCAGTAGACCTTTATGCTATGCTACCCTGTTACCAAAAAAACTTACTGTGGAACTGAAATCTGAGTAAACGGTAGCTGGATAGTAATCACCAATATGTCCTAGTCACTTACAAGTATGTATCCTTATATACATAATTAAATTTCTTATGTAAGGCTTTTCAGGATATTTGTTCCTTACTGATTTCGATTAATTTTAAGTTCATTAAAATAATGCTATTTTCAAAAAGTTTGCATTGTAATGACAATCGCTACACCTAATATTTGCATAACTTTGAAAGTGGTTTTATTTTTATTTAACTGATATGACGTAGTAATTTTTCAGTGTTGATTGATCGCTAAACGCTAATCAATATAGTTTTCTTTAGAAATACCAGTTCAAGATGCCATGCTTTACAGCAGAAAAAAAGCCAAATGGAGGATTTTAAAATAACGGAAACTCATGTAGGTCGAGAATAGAAAAGAATTAACCAGTTGTAAAGTGTTCTCGACTAGATCCCAATAGACAGTCATTTGTTCATTGAACGACTAAACCAGACAGCAAAAACTCTGAAAAACAGGGAGACACGCAATTTCCTACCCTCCCACTGATTGCAGTTTGGATAGAATAGAAAAGTGATCTTTTGTAGTCTTTCCGTTCTTCAAAAAATAATAGTAATAATAGTGGCTGGTGATTCTGATGTCTAATCAGGTAGTCTAGACCAAACTGAAAAACACTTAGGTTGGTCCCACGGTATTTCTTGACTCAGCAGATGGCGACCAGCTACTGAAAATTTACTCAGATAACTGTTTATTTCTAGCGATCACTAACTTCAAGCACAAGGAAAATATTGTCTGACATGGCTACCCAACAATGGAATTAACTAGACCACATTGCCATCAATCATCGCTGAAAAGGCTATATAGAACACTACCGCTCGTTTTGGAGCAAATATTTGGACTCTGATCATGTCCTGATGCAAGTATTTCGCTGCACCTTACTGAGAGCTATCTTGAATTCAATGAGCTTGTCAGTATGTCGATGGAAGGTTGTATTAAACCTCTGTAATGCTTATTCTCGAGTTGTCTACTGCTTCTTTAACTTCAATTTTATCTTGACCACAACCAGGTGGTGATATGATGTTATGTCAGCTACTTTCCTGGTTCTCACGTCTCCCATTATCCTTCTGAATTTCTTATTGATACAAATATGACCTATCTGGTTCTCCGTGGTGTAATCCGGTGAGGTCCATGTGGCTTTGTGTAGGAATATTGTGCCACCTATGACCATTTTGTTGAATGGAGGCACATGGATTTGCGAATATCTCACCATTCTCATTCTCTCCTCTCAGTCCTTTCCCATGATATTTTCGTATCCGGTGTAGTCCATCCCGACTTTGGCGTCTAGGTCTCCCTTTAGGATGGTCAGGTCTTTTCCTGGGCGCTTCGCTACGATTGACCTCAGTCTCTCCTAAAACTGATCTTTACCGTCGTCATCGCTATTATTGTTGGGTGTGTAACACTGGATAACATTCATTGTGATTCCATTCTTCCTTCCTTTGAAGGATGCCTTAATGATTCTGAATCCATGAGATTCCCATCCTATAAGTGCATTTCGTGCTTCTTTGGACAGCATCAGAGCAACTCCCTGCGTATGTGGAGCATTTACCTCTTCGTGACTAGAGTTCAGCATCATCTCTCCCTTATTTAGCTTTTGCTGTCCAGTTTGGGTTTAATGTGTTCCACTTATTCTGAACATCACCATGTTGTGTCTCCTCATTTCCGCAACTATTCGGTTGGTACTCCCGGTCTCCCACATTGTCTGGACATTCTACGTACCTATAAAAATTGTTGCTCTGGTTGGTAGAAGGGGCATCGACATCGTGACTTTCGAAATATTTCGGCTTTCATAATTAGGCGTCATAATTTTTGTGACTGAAGATCCTTCAACTCGGAGGGCAGAGGTTAAATTGTTCATTATGGTTGATGTCTTTTTAGCAAGGTTGTTTTTTACGGGATGGGTTTGTTTTTCTTCATAGTTATTGTATGCATTTTTATTTTTTGGTTATTTAATCTCCTGTCATTGTCCTCGAAGCGGCTCGTTCCGAATTTATACTCACTGAATTACTAGAACAGTAGTCATCGTCAAATAACTGCTTAGATAATTCTCCTGTGAATAAACTTAATATTACCATCTCCAAAATAAGTGCCATAAAGACTTTCCGACGTTTGTTTTCGCCTCCACTCAGACAAACGTAGATCCTCGCATGATGTAAGCTCAATTTTCCCTAAGCCCACCAAACCTAGCTACTGAATCCCCGATCACTCATAGATTACATTGAATGGCTTCCTCGTATTAACCAATTGTATTTAAGTGGTTAGCTTCATATACTTCCTTTGAAGATCACACACTAATAACTTTAAAGATTTAATTAGCGGCGCCTTCAGTCAAAGTTCATATCGATCGGATACGGAAAGCTTCAAGATCCAGTCGGTAACATTGTTTCAAAAGTAATGAATCGTACTTCGTAGATGAAGTCATTAGTACAAGTCGAAAACTAAGTTGTACAGACTCTCAGAATAATAATAACATTATTAACAACAAAAAGCAGAAGACTCAGAGAATACAAGAATGATAAACAAAACCATTGGTTGACAAAAGACATTTACTGTTGCTAAGATTATGCAGGCAAGTTACGTTTTCAACCGTCAACACTGACCCCGACATTCCTAAAATAGTCAATGGATTGGTTTTAGACATTCAGTAAGCTGAAGGAACATCTCTTTGAGCCCTTTCAGGCGTGGGTATTTTGTGGGTGGTAGTTGAGTCATTTCTCCTATTTATGGAAGGATGTTGGCACTAGCGGCGAACAGTGATACGTCAGGGCAACTTATACAGTCTTTAAAACTGGTATTTTACCACTCATTTTCCTAAATAGGAATTCAGGGACTCTATTGCCCTCACATTCCTTTTCTATAATCTGTGCGATTTAAACCCCGAATCGCTCCAAGCTATCTCAAAAGTCAACTGTTGATGGGGTCAGTATTGGTTACTTGGAAGAAGTTGGCAAAAGATGGATCACGTAGCTAAGCGGTTATCTTAAAAAGCGAACTGACTCAACCTACCAGTTTTAAGAACTACGCTTCATGTTGGATATTATCTATCGATCTCTTGAAGTAAGTTTATTTATAAACTTGACATTGTATGTATACCTATTTATTAACATTCGGGAACTATTTTATCACTACGGGGTTGTGGAGATTGTTAAGTTTTTTATTGAGATCAAGAATCGATTGATGTCAGACCACCATTAAAAACCTAGCAACACTGGACGACCATTTCGTCTTAGTATAGGACTCCTTAGCAGTGTGTATCCACATCAATCGATTCATGATCGCAATCAAGAACTTAACAATCTCCACAACCTCATACTGATAATTATCATGTGCTCAGTAGTGACTAGCTTCGTGAGGGGATTCTCGGAGTTCTGGTGAGAAGCCGTGACCAGTGGAGCTAATTCGTGTCAGTCAGAGACAGGTATCTACCTCAGACGATCGAAAATGGTCCCGCGATTTCGTGGGTTGGTTGAAGTTGGCTCAGTGGTCTTGAGGTTAACCGGCCCTTGGTTCGAATCCCTCTAAGTTTTGAGAAATTCTTACACAGGCCGTCTGTAAGCTCTTCAACCGAATTTAGTTAACTGTTTTCCCATTCTTTAGTTTTTCAGCTTCACAAAAAGCAATAATTATGATGGCGATGGATCCGAATTGTGAAGTGTTAGTGGTAGGTGCGCGCTTTGGGCTAATTGAAATACTAAGACCTGACTCGCTACTCACTTGCATACAGCGGTTCTCAGTGTTCAATCCATCCATATCCAACGATTCGACAAATACTTGTTTGACAGGTTTATGCTTGATACCTCGCCCTGATTGGTTATCCAATACCGTTGGAATAGAATCAGTTGATGCTAAATCTTCATCCAATTCCGATCACTATACAGATCAAAATGGGAGTTTGAACTCTTCTAATCCTCGGACATGTTTTATTGAACCATTCAAATCCCACTTTGGTTGGAGGCTTGATGATACAGTGTGTGTCCGCATACCTGGATTAGCAGAGGTAAGTTAAAATTAATGTGTTTCCTCTTGAAAACACAATTCCGTGGGCAACAAGCTATCTAATAGTAGGATAGCAATATATTTCTACCTTTCCGTTTTAACGTTAGGATTAGCCAATAGAATAATTAGATAATTGGTGATTAATTGATATAGCCGGACAGACAGGTGTTAGAATCGTAACCTATTTCAAAATTTCTGCCAAAGTAAATTTCAGAGGATAAAATGACTACTCCATTAACTACTAATGTTTAGCAGGTATGTGGAACCGTCACGATGCTCAAATATGCAAATTAATTATTAACCACATAATTCATATACAATGAAGTATCGAAATGGTTTTAAAGCAAACAATTCTACATCTCTAATCACCTTATTACTTTCTAACTACTGCATCTAAGTATAACGGTTGTGAAGTACAGTATTTTTTGCTTTTTATCATAGTTTGTGTTTAATTTGATAAATCATCAAACGGAGGTCACTTAAAGCTGAAGTCTCATTTTTCTAGTATTGATTTTTAGTGGGCTATGGTCTGTGAAACATAATATCATTCTTGTGTTCAGCTGACAAAGGACTGATTACTAATCTTCATGTGCTTAAGCTGTGGTAAAACCCATAGTCTACTAATTTACTAACCATAAAATTAAAGATTTATGACATGTTTTCACTTGTTCAGATAAGTGATTCGGTTATTTTTTTCATCCACATACATATTATGTGAATAAATTTGTGGATTCTCAGATAATACGTACTACTAAACAGTTCTTCTTTGAAACGTGTGGTCCAGCTGTCTCTTTATTTATTCACTGATTAGCCAGAAAGGACGATCTGTCTTCACACTCACCTTGTAAAGACATATAGTCTTCTTTATGAGCCACATGTGTAATAGTAATAATAGTAATAACAATATTTGTCTCATTTCTATATAAGAGATATGAAGTAATCATCTATACACTATGATAACCCTTCATATTGTATTTTGAAGCTAGTTAAAAAAGCTTCATTTTTCAGTATACACATTTGTGAAAGACATACACCACTTTTGTCCTATTCTGTACTGTTTTCTTTGACAGAGGTCGAATATTTCGTCAGAAGATGCAAGCATTTTTATGGATGATTTCTACCCTGTTTCAGGTATGAGCCAAATAAAACTTGACAGCTTGGGAAGTGAAGAGCATAAAGTTTTAAGACAAGAAATTGATCGCGTTGCTGCATCCAATCGCGAGCTGCTTCGAAGACTTGTCAATTTTGAATTGAGATCGTCAGTGTGATTTTTTGTGAAATGTACAAAATACACTCTTTTCCATGAAAAAAACGTAGCCCTTAGTTGTGATGTTTTCATTCTCGTTTCCTGTTGTAATTACTTGACTTCGTGCATATGGTATCTTCAGTATCAAGGATCTGTTTGAATCTAGATGTATGCTACGATAAATAGATTGCGTTAAAACACAGTCTAGATTTTAACACTGCACTTTGCAAACCATTATAAATCATTGGCAGAGATAAAAAGTGGGAAAGTCACTTCTTTAGCTTCAAACATTCTATTTTCTTTCGAAGTGATTCTGTCCATCGGGTTTTTACAATATAACACCGGTTTAAACTTGCTCTATAAATGTTATTGCAGTAACTTCTATATAAAGCATTATCTTTTTACTTTACAGTTGCTTTATTATGACTAGTTCGAGTACTGGTGATCACGTGTTCCGATATGGCGACAACACCTCCAAATTTATTCCGTTTTGTTTTGTCTTCTCCCATAATCGGTCACATTCACTATCGTCAATTTATGAACTCTTTAAACAACTAGAAATGAGTGTTAAACCCATTTCTAGTTTATTTGTCTGTAAAAACGTGGCTTCGGTGACCATTTTGATTCACTTGTCTACTATCCCAGTAGGATCATCAAATAGGCTGACCTAATATAAACATATCATCGGCTTTAGGTTACTTCTAGTCTTTTCAGTGTAAATATGATGTATTCTTCTATATAAATTGGCATAAAAATAACTTAAATGTAGGCTATCGAAACGTCTACACAATGATTGTTGATAATAACAATAACAAAGAATGAAAAAGCAGCTATGCTAGCCTTCACGTAGTAGGTGTTTAGGTTGATTAAAAAGCAGTTACTGTGAAGTTAGGTGTGAGTACCACTGCTTTGCAAAGGGCGGAACTTTGACTACTCATCCCAGGTGTCTGAAGAGATGAGATATTTACCTAGTTTCTCAAATAGACCCTATGATCTAACTGTCCCTATTTGACTGTACTTGTTTGTGCACTGATATATGAAACTGTCTTCTTGAATGTGTGCATTCATCTCGCAAATTAGAATTGAGTTGAAATAGTTTCAATCGGATTCACGTTTTTCATGTATGAAGTTCACTTTAAAATGTGGTGATCACATGATCGTCTTTTGGAGATAACAAACAGTGGGACCACAGATATAATGTTTGGATTAGAAGACAAACGTACAGTTTCAATTGTATACTCTGTATTGAATCTTCAACATACTGTTCCTAAAATCTTTTCTTATGTCTATGATCTTAAACCTGAGTGGCTGTGGCAACTTGAAAATTAGCCTATTTATCCAACTTTCCAATAAACATTTACGTCATTGGTTTTCAACCTTTTGATTCGAAAACTAGGGACTATTTTCCGTCAAAAATTAATAAATTAATATTGGCGTCCAAAAAATACTGACATTTTTTGTCTCACAAAAGAATACATCATAAAATTAGTCATTAGACACAGATAATGCAATGGTGAAGACAAAGTTTATCAGAGCTATGTAATCTAATAGCACAATACATTTCGAATAATCTGGTCACAAACTTATTTATCAAGACATTTGTAACTAAAAACACAAAGTTCAAACTAGCAGATCATAAAAAACAAAGCTATTAAAAACACACCACTGAATAATAAATCAATACTACCTGGCCAGTTTGGTTGAACTTCGTCTATTCATATCAAAGGAATTAACTAAGTTTATAAAATTCATTTGTCATAAAATTATATCCAGAAATAGACCCTTAGCGCTTATGTTGTTTTCCAAAATGAAGGATAAACACTTCTGGAGATACTGTCAACTAAGATAGAATCCCAATATTTTACCAGGTAGAACCAGTCGGCTGGTAAGTGGATCGAATTAGTCGACCTTCTTCAACCGAATGATTAGGCATTCACATTTTCAAAAAGAAATATTCATTTAAAATCTCTGCATAAATATAAATACGTTACATTGAAACAGTAATTTATCAATAAATTACTGTATGTTGATATCACTCCTTGGAACCGTTGAAAAAATAAAAGTCAGGCGTACGTGATGAATAGTGCTAACTGGAGAAAGCTTTCTATGTTGTTCGTGTGGTAGATACTTCCATTTAGTTTCGATATTAGCCGGAGTCACTATCTTAGACACTCAGTTTTGGTGAGTCTCTGTGGTTAACACTAGCTGAACAAAACGTTTTTAAATTATTCAAATGCATTAGGATATATGTTTAACAAAATCACGATAATTGTAGCGCAGTTAAGTACTCAAAGAAGTTTATTCGCGTGACTAAATGTAGTTAAACTAGGTTGGAAAATTATTGCATAGATTTGAAAAAAATTCACCAACAGAACTATCTTTGTTCCCGATGAGCAAGGTGATTGAATTGAGTTTGTAGCATTGTTTGGAATTAAAAATTTGGTTGGAAGTCGACCCATTTATGTCTTAGCATGTACATTTTTTCATGAGACTAACTTTTATTTGAAATAAGGGTTAATAAGTCATGAAATCTGTGTAAGTTGTGTTTAGTGTTTTCAAAATGGTCACATGGTCAGGTTTCCAAACAATTATCGGACAACATCAGGTAGCGAATTGTATTAAGCTACAAAATGTTTTATATAATGGAAAATACAATAAAGTGCGATTAAAGAATCTATCACATTATAATTATTCAGGACAACAATTTTTGACTTGTAGCACATTAGTACACAAACATGGTTATGCTAAAGCGTTTACCAATTCTTTAGTCACTTAATTGGGTAATTGACGGCATAGATAATGTTACTTAGTTTGTTACAAGAAATATAAGTTTGTGTGCATGTATATGCGTGAAGAAAAATCTGAAGATGCTTTAATAGACATGGTAAATCAGCAAAGGAATTATTACTTCCAAAAAATGTTTAAAAATCCCCATCATATTAAAACACTAATATATAGATGAAGCATATTCTTTTTAATAAATTCTCTTCAGGTTGTAAAATTATTTATCTAAATTCATAAGCCAAAAGAGATCAGGTTTAAGGCATTATGCATTTGAATTTACGGTTGCTTGTAAAATAGAATAAGTTTGTTAATGTTGGGATGGCTAACATGAAATGTTAACTTGAATAAGTTTATATGATAACTGAAAATTTGAGATTAATATGAGTCAATCAGGGTGAGAGAAAGAACGTTTCAAAAATCTTTTCACTTAAAATGGTCTGATTTTAATTCAAAGCTTACATCTGAAGAACAATTAAAATATATCGTTTGAGAAACCAAGTCAGTTTCTACTACTTGGTAATATTAGTTTATTAAGTTCTGAACGAGAGAGAACGCTGGAATACTACTTCTATTTAGCCTATGATTTCTCAACACTGTGCAATTTCATTTCCATCTGAGACCCATAGGATCATTCTTCTATGAAGACAAACCATTTTTTTACTGCTCTTTAATCAAAGTTGATCCAATATTGTTTTCACAGAAGTAGACTTACTTCTTTTATTGTAAAAATTGGCACGTACGCATAGTTTCGATGCTGAAAATAAATCAATTGAAAAATCGTCGAAGTAAAATTTCAGTTTAAAATATTCATATCACCGTTTTAGTACAAACAATTTCCAAACTGCTACGTATACTAACTGCCGATTCGTAGTAAAAAAAGTATGGTGTATATTCTGATATGTTGATCGGGTAGAATGTAGACATTAAATCAAATTACTTTATATCGTGGTCCACATTCGTCTAATATAACATGCAAGTTGTGTCTACAAAAGATGTTCTTTCATTAAATCTTAATTAGATTTCATGTAAGTCCTTTTATCTGATATAGTGATGATGTGTTATCAAATCGATAATTGTGGTGAATTTATAGAACAAGTTTGTACACGTTACGAATCCATAAACTGTTGAACTAATGTCTCACAATTAAATTAGTTAACCTAATTTTATTAGTTATCTCACCACGTATTTAATATGTAGTAAATAACCATTATTGTGCATATTTATATCTTTGAATGAATGGTTGTTCATATTATTCTCTGAATAAAATTCTACTATTATGGCTTTCGTCTTGATAATATGAATCCAGATGCTATTTCTATCGAAGATTATTTTCCAGTAGCGATGTGTATCACTGATTGTAAACATTACGATAACATTTTAGACAGTTTATGTTTCCCATAACTTACTAGTTATTACTTATAATTATTGTCCACTATCTACCATTACATCACGATACCCAAGGCCTATTATTATGCCTCGTTTAGTGTGACCCTGATCAAAATCCCTGTTATAAATAGTCAACTTTTAGGGTCGATTTCTTCTTTCTAATTTCGGACAAATAAAGTGAAATGTATTCATCTTCTTGTAACGTTTATGTATGAAAGGAGACGGAACTTGCAGTATGTTAGCTCCAGGATATATTCAATATTATTTCTGTTTATAGACTTTTACTATCGAACAATGCAGAGACATAAACTATAATGGATTTATGAGGCAACCCTACGAAGGTCAGACATTTACAAATTACTATCTATCTGTTTGACAATCTAGTAAGTCTTCCTCATGATAAGAATTATCATTATAGGTATGCATAGCTTTAATATTCATTTTGAAGTTAATCTGGACAATAAATGACTCCCATCACTCAGCAAATTTAATATAAAAACGGTGTTTATCGAAGTTAAACTCTAATGGACAGTATGAACAAGTGAAAACCGTAGGAGAATCAAGTTATTAGTTAACTGAGCAGATTAAAATTTTATTGAAGGACGTAATGCTTATGGCACTGTTTTTATTTTGGGTAGATGAGTTATGAAGCTCTCTCTCACGTATTGTAAAAAATTATCGATGATCAACTAAAACTTTGTTATGGTATTTATTGGCTCGTAGAAAGTGACCTATTGAGACTGATACATTGTAATGTCATGAGAATATAAGACATACTGAATATTGTAATTGACCGAATCTCGGTGTGTTGAGAAAGTACTTCTTGCTATGTTATGTATTACAAATCCCTTGGCTGAAGGCTTATGTATTCTGTCTAATATCAGTTTCGACACCTCCCAAAAACCACTATGTATTTGACAAACGTCAGACACTTACTTTGTCTCGATTTCCTTGTTTTAATTTGGTTCATAAGAAATATTTCTTCTCGAATCTCTCACTCGATAACTGTTATCGTCATAAACTGATAGTATGTATGAACACAGGAAAAACCGGGAGGTTGTTTTGTCTATGTTGGAAACTCATCAGGAGTGTGTCCGGAATATTTAAGTCTGGTAGAAAGGGCGATACATTCCGATCAATGACATAGAATTGATTTGCGATATAGGTTGATCTTCAGTTAATGCTAGCAGTGAATTATTATTCTATTATCGAATACGTTGACTTCACTATAGCTGGAAATTCATCACAAAGCCAGCTTCTAATAGACCTATGTCTACTAGTTATTTATTACTTCGTCGAGAATGAAACAATTAATGAATACTCTATGATTCCCGATATATCATTCTATGATGTAAACTACCTTTAGGCTTTACGAATTTTGTAAAAAATACAGCAAGTCTCATTAGCTTGTACACCGTGACTACTGTTGTTGCTCATATCAGTTGTTTTGTTTCGAAATGAACACTAAATTAACATCTTAACATAGATTGGTGAACTAGTTT